GGATCTTTAGTTTTTGCACCTTTGGGGCAGGCACAGGTGCTCTCTGTTGAGACTTAGAGAACATGGGTGTTTCTTGGGACACTGCGGGGACTGGTGCTCCTTGTTGGGTAGCCTACTAAAAGGCACAGGTGCTCCCAGTTCAAAAGCAGCTTTTAGTAGATGCTGCCTCAGATACTCAGGGACCCTGAGTTTTCCTTTTTGTTAGAACCCAGTGGGCATAGGTAGTTCCTGCAGGGACTCAGCAGACATGGGTGCTCCCTGTGTCTTCTTCTCACTCCACTTCCTTCACTGTTGCCTCCACTGCTTAGTGGTCTTCAGTGTGGCATCTGAGAATGCTGAGTCCCCCCACTCAGCCCTCTCAGACCCAGCAGACACAGGTGCTCCCTGCGGGGATCTGGCAGTCACAGGTGCTACCTGAGGCTTTCTCTGCCTCCACTTCCTCTGCTGCTCCGTGGTCTTCAGTGTTGTTTCTGAGAAACATAAGGATCACGTCCAACATATGTTTTGATATTCTGTGTATAACTTTCTCTTGTAATAGTGTCTAAACCAGTACAGTACGGACTTTCCTCTTTCTCACACATTCTGCTTTTCATTTCCTGCCCTCCATCTGAATTCCGCGCATCATCAGAATCACGTGATTGCAAACAAGCTCGCCTGAAATGTAGGCGAGAGTAGGCTGCTGCAGTGAGGGGAGGAGTGAAATAAGCGCAGTCAAGACGGGCAGTTCTGACCTCTCAAAGTAGAACAGACACCTACAAGCCCAAAGGCGGATATCGCGTTATTCACACTCATGTGATGTGTTGCTGATAAACACGATATAATTTTAGTTCTGTTGCTTTTATATGAAAACAAATTAATGAATGAATGAATGATGCATTTGTATAGTGCTTTATTGTGTATTGCTGTACACCCAAAGCGCTTTACAATCATGTGGGGGGGGGTCTCTCCTCAACCACCACCAGTGTGCAGCATCCACCTGGATGATGCGACGGCAGCCACAGCACAACAGCGCCAGTACGCTCACCACACACCAGCTACAGGTGGAGAGGAGAGAGAGTCATAGAGCCAATAGAGTGGATGGGGATTATTAGGAGGCCATGATTGACAAGGGCCAGTGGCTGCAATTTGGCCAGGACACCAGGGTTACACCCCTACTCTTTTACGAGAAGTGCCATGGGATTTTTAATGTCCACAGAGAGTCAGGACCTCGATTTAACGTCTCATCCGAAGGACGGTGCGTTTTGACAGTATAGTGACCCCATCACTATACTGGGGCGTTGAACTAATGAGCATTAAGCTGTATTGTCAGCGAGTCGTTTCCCATCGTGCTTTTGGTCAGCGCAGCTGAGGGAGAGCAACCAAAACCACTAGAAGGCAAGCCTGAAACCATTAGCCGAAAAAGCGTAACGGCTAAAGTTAACGCTTCCAGTCTGGCAGTACGTGGGAAAAAAAGACCAGAGACCATTTTTTTTTAATGGATGTCAATGGAGGAGAGGCTTCACTACGCTGAATAAACAGCTTTTTTAGAGGAAACGGCTAATCATTTAATGAATCAACAGCCTATCTGCTAATCTTCAACATGTTTTACACTAAACAATACTTTTGGATTGAACTATTTTTATAGTTTACCACGAAAAAATGCCGTTTTATAAGAGAAGTCACTGACTATTTGCGACAGGTGGGATTTCAGAGTGTCGCACAACTCTGACTGAAATTCAATGACATCAAGGCTGTAATGTGATTGGTTATTAAGGGACACGTGATCCAAGTTGACCGCTACGCTTTCTCCAATAGTAAGTAATACAGACCCTCTCATCTCCTTATAGTAAGACAATCTCTGGAGCAACTGCGCTCGACTGCACGGCCGACTCAAAGTCACGAGAGATTTTTGACATTCGTCAGCGTGACATCAGAGCAAGACGGACTGCCCTCGGACACATTTCTAACCGGCATGCATCCTGCGGTAATCCCCGGTGATTGGTTCTGCGCAGATTTTGCTCAGACTACCGCGAGATAGTAGGCTCTTGCAGTACTTTGATGTCATACGCCGATCGGTCTGCACAGCGCCACTTTGCTAAATCAATCACCCGCAGGTGGTCTGGTTTCATATGTGGATGGTACGGAATCATTGCTAAGACTTAGTTTGAATGGGGATATCCATTATATTTATTTCACTATTTTTAAAATCAGCTCCACAAATGCACGCATTTTACTATTATGTCCTCGGGTCGTAAACATTGTGGGTTGGACTATTAGAAACTGATAAATCATCCTTTTGACAAGCATAAATGCACCTATAGGAAGAGGGAAAACTTCCTGTAATTCACCATGAAAACTTGCATTTAATCGTTTTTTAAATATATATATATAAAGTTACAGTGAAATAAGACGTTTGTTATTATCGTTTAATAAATTACACCCATTTGGAAAATTACCAGCTTCTCATTGGGTGGGTCATAGTTGAAAGTGGGTGGGCCCGGGTGGGCCCATGCCAGGGGTCGGCAACCCACGGCTCTTTTTATTCGTATATATTTATACGTTTTATTCGTATCCAAAACGATGTGAACATCATGGAGCGCTAAACACTCTCCTGCAGTGTGCGTTTCATTCATACTGGAAACCGGAGGGCGCTCTCGTGCAGAAAGTTCAAAACGGACTCATAGAAGTAATAATAACTTATGATGCGCCAGGAAATCCCTAATATGGACATCCAGTTATCACTGTAGCTGAGCTGAATAACAAGCATAAACCAACTGATGAACATGAAGACAATAAACGATTGCGACAATATATGGTTTATGTGTGTTTTTCAAGTCTTCACTTTATCTGAATGATACAGTGCTAACTGACATAGCATTTATTACAGTACAGAAGCTATAAAATATATTTTCTGCCTTATTCTGTGATATAAATGGAAAAAGTGTTTGTAGTATAAACCAATCATAATAAAAATGTCTTTAGGAAAATATATATAAAATATAGAAATACAAAAATATAGAATACAAATTATTGGTTATTGTTCAGCAGTGTATTTTATTTCTTAGCCAATTAAAAGTAAGACATAAGAAAAGTTTTTTTGTCAATTAGACAAACATACATAATATTAATAATAATAATAATTATTATTACATTTGACATTTCTGTCCCCCTCACTTCTGAAATGATTGCTGTGCCCCTGCCCTGTAAACATAACTGAATATAAAACTTTAGCTGTGAAAACTGTTATCTTCATTTTAGGGATCAAATAGGTTTTGTAGCTCCACGTGAATTTTATTCGGTGGGACAGGGGCTAAAATGGCTCTTTTGATGTTGAAGGTTGCAGACCCCTGTCCCATGCCCACCCGTAGCTTCGCCACTGGCCCAAACTGTAAAGAGCATACTCACGATCACTCGCCGACTTGCTACAAAATGCATAAAACTAAATACAATTATTTTTTATTATTTATATTAGCCCTCTATGGCATGGTGTTGCCCTCAGAGGGCTAATATAAATAACAAAAATAATTTTATTTTGTTTTACTATTTATTTTAGTGAAGCAATGCAACAGATGCTGGTAGGTCACATGACAATGACAACACCGCGAATGTAGTATGTATAGTAAACAATTTTTATACAGAAAAAAAATACAACAGGAAGATAAAATCTTATAAGAACGAGACAACAAAATTGCTTGTGTTTCTCAATACGAGTAAGGTTGTTGCAACAGGTCTATGAAATTAAATACGGAAAAATAACTGACGACTATAGCTGAAGACGCACGCATAGGTTTGATGTATCTTTATTTGCCAAATGAGTAGCAGTCCTTGTTTTTTCTGTGAAGGCCTGTTTCACACAGCGGCACCCATATCAACATGTAGTGAAGCTTGTGTTTAAAAAAAAAAAAAGTTTCGTTCACGTAACAGTATTCACACTTCATCGTGGTTTTCTTTAGTACATTGTTTTCCCCCAATATATTAAGCCCAAATAAACTTTGTTATAGTTATAAGCAAAGCACCAAAATAAAGTAAATAAAAGAATCACTTCTACATTGTCTAAATAAAATTTTAAAAAATCAGTTACATAAGCAAATATGATGAAACCAGCGGGTGTAACCGTTTGTTGTGTGCTATACATTGTAATGACCACTAGGTGGCCACACCGTACACCGTATTGAAAAGCTTTGAATAAAGGACCGTTTTGCGATGGATCGCAAAGCTTCGTTTAACCATCACGGTTACCAGTTTAAAGCGTCCACTGCTCTCTGAGCAGCATGCAGAAGATGCTGAGCCTTGAGAATGCACTGTAAACCTTACAGTTTTTTTTTTTTTATTGCTTACACAATTACTGAAACTATGTCTCCTTTTCGCCACTCTACACACAAAACATTTCGCATATCTCTCAAAATCAAATACTTATTTCAAATCTATTTTAACTCTTAAAAAAAATGTTTTTGCATAGCAACTCTTTTGCAAGTAAAAGTACTATCTTGTGTCTTTTGCCTGTTCAGTGTGCAGTGTCTGTCACAGCACCCACACACATGTATGTGCAAAAATACACTGTAAATACAGTATGCACAACTGATGAGCATTAGTTATTGAACTGGACTGAATCAACACTGAACTAACTTGAGCTGTATAATGACACGATTGGCTTGTTTGAATTTGTTACTACTGCTTTGAAACAATCTGTGCTGTATAAAGAATTAGAAATAAAGTTATGTATGCATATTCAGAATATATTTACAAAGTACTGTAAGCAGAAATGCAAGGGGGAATTTTTTTGTTTGTGATCAATTTTTTGATTTTGATTGTGACTTGATATGGTATATGAGCGAATGGTGTGCCTCAGATATAACTTTGAGGGTGTAAGCAATTAAAAAAAAAACTATTTGAGTATTTCAGTCAGGTTTCATGTAGTGACAAACAAAAAAACAAGTACATCTGACTTACTCCAGTTTGAGGTTCACTATAAATTTTGATGTAAATGTAGCGCTTTGCAACATCCAAGAATAAACTCAGTGTTGTAAACCAGAATTTCATTTCTTTTCTGCAGAGTCGGGTCTCTTACAGCAGAATGTGTCATTGGTTGCAGTGCTTGTGTGTGCTGTGTGAAACAGGCTCGGAGTCAGTTGCTATGCAGGTCAGAATTCATGTGCACACAGATCCCAGACCTGCTGTTAGAGTTTACTTGCGACCATCTTGATGTACTGCAGGGCGTTATGTGCTGCGGTGTTGTGGGCGTTACTGCTGGTCATCCCGGTGCCGTGGCACACCGTCACCGGCCTGGTGGACAGTTCCACCAAACACTGGTACTGGCCGTTCACTGTCAGCTCATCTGCAAAACACACACATATATATATCAAACATATCCAGCCCTGATGACACAAAATGACACAAACTGAGAAACGAGAACCAACCGATGCCTATGTATGTGACCTGAAAGCCCAGCTCCAGTGAGATCTCCAGCAGCATCTGAATGTAGTCTGTGTTCGGGATGCTGAGCGGCGTCCTCCTCAGGAGGGAAATCTTCTCCCCTGTGGCCTGCCGTAAGCTTTCCACATACACGCGAGAAGGTGGGCTCTGGGGACCACAGGAGACATGGGGTCAAAACTGGACATGGGAGCACATCTGATCTGATTTAAAGGGATAGTTCACCCAAAAATGAAAATTCTGTCATTAATTACTCACCCTCATGTCGTTTCAAACCCGTAAGACCTTTGTTCATCTTCGGAACACAAATTAAGATATTTTTGATGAAATCTGAGAGCTTTCTGACCCTCCCATTGACAGCAAGGGAACTACCACAGTCAAGGCCCAGAAAGGTAGAAATAGTCCAGGGAGAGGAATTGTTGAATAAATTCGTTATTTTTGTTTTTTTGCGCACCAAAAGTATTATCATAGCTTCATAACATTACGGTTGACCCACTGATGTCATATGGACTATTTTAATGATGTCTTTACTACCTTTCTGGGCCTTGACTGTGGTAGTTCCCTTGCTGTCTATGGAGGGTCAGAAATCTCTCGGATTTCATCAAAAATATATTAATTTGTGTTCCGAAGATGAACGAAGGTCTTATGGGTTTGAAACGACATGAGGGTGAGTAATTAATGACAGAATTTTCATTTTTGGGTGAACTAACCCTTTAAATCCCAGCTGCTCCACAGTACTTTCCCCTGCTGCTCATTTTGTGTTCGTGAGTGGAAGCACCTCATGATTTGATGGTGACTCATTCAGCCGTGATTCAATTCCAAAATAATTCCTCATGCTGAAATATTGATGCAACCGGCATAAGAGCACAAATCATTTATGAGCCACGGTGACAAATCAAATCCTATTTAAGGGTTTTTCCTTCAACTTCAGGCTCTTTTATGTTCCAAGGGCTGATTTTTCTTTCTAATCTTTTATATAAAGATTTTTTTTACATAAAGGTCACATGAAAACTGCCTTCGTACCATGGTTTCATCATTTACTTTTGTTATAGAAATGTAAACCACAGTGTTTTTTCAGGCACTGGTCAATTTTGAGATTGTGAGTTATTTTGCTTCCATAACATGACTAGTGGAAAGAAAACATCCAAAATATTCAGATTCTGTTCTAGAAATGAGTGCATACTGAATTAGATCATTCCTAATTTACATATTTAAACAACATTTCTGACAGCTTTTAATACGAAACAATTGTCTTCATGTACTATGATTAATCAACTGCGGACAGTCTGGTGACATCACTGATCTGTTATATGTAGTTTAGGCCTGGTTTTCAGTTCAACTCATTTTACCCCCAGAAATTAAAATAAATAATAATAATAATAATAATAATTAACAGGGGCATCAGTACTGGTATCAGTGATAATAGTCTTGCAACTTAGTAAAAAGGATACCATTAAACAAATACTTTAAATATAAAATATTTAAAATATTATCTTTATGTTGCTTCCACTTCAGTCTGCAGATTTATTGTGTATATTTTCTGTATAATTAAAAATGTTAATATTAGGCATGATCAATAATTAATTATTATTTTTTAATCAATTCAACAGCACAAATATTTTTCAGTTATGATTTCCTCATAATACATTTTCTCAAATGTTTTCATTTCCGTTGTATTTATTTCATTTTCAATATACTGTAGAGATTATGATGCAGAAACACCAATGTTTCCAATGTCTAAAAATAAAGCATATTCGTCATTTTTGTCCTTTTTTCTTTAACCAAGCTAAAGGCTCTCAGGTATGTTAATGTGCACACATATCTCTGTATAAGTGCATCTTTGGGTGGTTTATGCATCTTTCTTAAACGTATAATTGTGAACTTTTATGGATGGTTTTGGTGAAAGAATCACAATGCATCAGTGAACAGATGAATGTCACTAACCCACGTGATCTCGGGAGATCCGGACAAACTCTGTAGTTTCCCCAGCATGCGTTCGGCTGCTGCGCGTCTGGCCAGCCTTTTGGAGCTGCCGGTGCCTGATGAGCAAAAGCACATCACAAAGCATCAGTACTCGTGCGCTCAGCGTGACATCACAATATGAAAAGCGGCTAACAGCACCTGACTCCTCCAGTCCTTCCAGACGACAGGTAACTGTGAACTCCTTCATATGATCCGGCCCTGTCTCCAAACACACCACATACTCCGGCAGACACCAAACTCTCTGCATGGCCAGCTCCTGACACAACACACAGCACCATTCAAATACACTCGAAACAAACAAATACTCTCCGCCATAATAATAATAATAACTAGATTAAAAAAACTCTGTCAAGACAAACTTTATGTTGGCTTGAGGAAGCGTAGCCAGAACTTTTGAAGCAGTTACAAAAGATAGAAGTTTGAAGATTTTAAATTTGAAGTAGTTTTACAAGCACAAAGGTTGGAGTTTTTGTATGTCATGCAGGCTGTCAGACATGAATAAATGCTGTACTTTTTTTACTTTTTATTCATCAATGAGTCCTGAAAAAAGTATCACAGGCTCCAAAAAAACAACAACTATTCAGCACCAAAACTGTTTTCAATATTGATAATAAGTCAGCATATTAGAATGATTTCTGAAGGATCATGTGACACTGAAGACTGGAGTAATGATGCTGAAAATTCAGCTTTGATCACAGGAATAAATTATATTTTAATTTATATTTAAATTGTAATAATATTTCACAATATTATTGTTTTTTTTCATTGTTTTTAAATGCAGCCTTGATAAGCATAAGAGTCTTCTTTAAAAACACTAAAAATCGTACTGATCCCAAACTTCTGAACGTCAGTGTAGATACTCATATACATGCATATAAATGCATCAACTTGCTCTCGAGTGTTCACAGACCTGCTTTGACCTTTCCAATATAGTGGGTGACTTACGTAGAGCGGCCCACCGAAACAGCCGCTAATAAGGCATCTGCGTATACATATGTGTTGTTAGCATGTCCTATGCCAGTGTTTCTCAACCCTGGTCCTGGGCGCCCCCCAGCACTGCACATTTTGTGTGTCTCCCTAATCAAACACACCTGATTCAACTCATTAGCTCATTAAAAGAAACTCCAGGACCTGAAATGGGTGTCAGATAAGGGAGACATACAAAATGTGCAGTGTTGGGGGGCGCTCAGGACCAGGGATGAGAAACACTGTCCTATGCTATTGCTAGGCTTTGTTAGTGATCGATAGATTTTCAGGAAAACCGAAAGGCCTGTCTGGTGCTTGACCAGATACCTGCAGGACTCCTACATGATTGGATTCACCGGCTTCAGGAGAAAGACCATCTCTCCGATCACTGCGAAAGATTCAGAAAACATGGGTAAGTCTTACCTCAAGTATCTGATCTATAATAGCTCATATCACTATCTACAGTGTGTACTTTACTTTGGCTGGGTGTCTCGTTTCAATAATTTCAAGGCGGCTTCTGCAGCTTCATGTTTAGCAGCCTTTTTAGTGGATCCTCGACCTTTAAGAACGAAATGTTATCTATTAGAATACTAGTGTGCACTATATAATATATACTCTTACTAGGCGGTATTTAAATGAATACATAAGTATGTAAATGTCAGACCTTTGCATGTGATGCCTCCTATGGTGACACTGAACATGAAGGAGGACTGGTGCATGTCTCCTTCAGCCTGAGCCTGGATGAGCTCGTACACGGGCGCGCTGCCCATTTTAATGCCATATTCATGCAGGATCTGGACGGGTGTTTTCTCCTGACAGCGCTGATTAGCCATGGCGACTCTGAGAAGAGAATAATATATTAATACCTCGACGGAATAATGATGGAACATAATAATACAAAGATGCTAGATAAGAGCGAACTACAGAAACTAGGACAAATACAACCCAAAACATATAATGCAGATATTGACAAGACACTACATTATAACACAAACAATACATCCTGCCTGTCTATAGCCTATGTGCAGTCAATAAACAGTCTGCCATCCATATACAGATATTACATTAAACAGACACGTACGTGTTTGGAAACATCAATTGTTAAATATAAATATACATATATACGTGTGTGTAAAAGAAAATAAGATTATATGTCAAAATGTAAGCTTCTTACTGAGCATCGGCCATTATTGCTATGCGTATGCCGCTTCTACGTTGATTGACAAACTCACTGGCCAATAGTAGTCCACTATACTGACTATAAGCCCCGCCTTCCGCACGGTACTGCGCCAGAGCCCCTCCTACAGGGGAAACCCCAATGTTAGCAATAATGCGTAACGCTAGGAATCCCGAGGAGACTAGAATGTGTTTTTCCCTTCAGCACGCTGAATAGACCGCTTTTGTGTGGAAACAACTCGCCACAGTATAAGGCCGACTGTCCGCTGATCTTTTTGGCATGACATGATTTCGGAGTGAATGATAAAAGCCAGGGATAATTTTGCGACAGATGTGGTTCTTTTAACGGCACAGCCCATTCACTTCTGTGGTTATATGGCCAAGGTGATTGACCGTTTTGAACACAGATATGTATATCTATGGTTTTAACAGCCATTCATGAAGTTACCCGATTTGACGCCGAGTTAGCATCTCCTTTCAATAAGAAGATCTCTGGCTCCACCTCTCATACGCTTGTGGGAGTGGTTGTAACCCTTATACAGTCTATGGTTGTAACCTTTTTTTCTAAAAAAATTTTTGGATTGGTTGTAACTTTTTTTTTTTTTTAAACAGTTTATGGTTGCAACCAATCGGATTCAGATTTAAGCTTTATTTTGGCACAATAAAAGGAAGCTTCACACTGTACTGTACTGTACTAGTAACCAGGGATGGGCAGTATTTCAGATACATGTATTTAAAATACGTATTTGAAATACAAAATACTTTTTTGTATTTTAAAGCCTTTGAAAAAAAAATCTAATGTAATTTGCATTTAAGTAAATTTTTCCACACAGTATTTTGTATTTGTATTTAAATAAATTTTTCCACACAGTATTTTGTATTTGTATTTTAAATACATTTTCATGCATTTATGCCCATCTCTCTGCTAGTAACGTAATACAGACTGATGTCACACTTAAACATTCAATTAAACAAAATATCTCAAATGGGAAAACAACAACAAAATTGCGTAAAACAATATATTGTGTTTAAAACTTAAGTCAAAGTTTTACTTTGTAGTGAATTGTAAAAAGTTCTGTGTCCACTTTCTTTTGTGAGCAGCTGCATTCATTTCTCTTTGGTAAGGCTGTTTACTGAGTCTGTAGATGCTCAGGACTTTTCTGTGTTTACCCAGCCACTCGATTTAAACATCTCATGAACATCGTCAACATCAAAATTGTATTTAATTTATTTAGGGTGCAGATGGCAATAAACAGCAGCTGCAGCAGGCTTTCCCTTGCCATTGAAATATCATTATTTTACTAATAAACTGCTAGTTGCAACAGTCCACACTTGTGTGGAAACTATCCATTCATGCTCTTATAGAGCGACAAATAAAAGTGCTTTAGAGCGTCGTGCCCCCTGGACAAATACATACAAGTGCAATAATCCTAGTACAAGTTTTTTTTTTCCAGCAGAAACATAAACAGCACTGTTTTGGGGTGAATTTGGAAATGAAATGTTCTTTTAACACTTCATGATGTTATTGACAATATAATTTTAAAACGGCTCCATATTTGTTTATTTCATAAAATTCTAAAATATTTATTTTTTTGTTAGGTAAGTCAGAATTACTGTATGTGAACAGTATTTTCAGGACCTTACCCCTTGTTTCAATTAAACAAGATAATCATCACCCCAGCTCAACGTGTAAACATTGATGAACATCTGTGTGTTTGTGTATGTGCCGTGTATGCTGTCTGAGAGGTTTCATGGACTGCAGCAGGACATTATGGAAGGGGTCGGTGAGTTTTGGGTGGAGGGAAAACCACTCTCTTGGTGAGGGTGAACTCTGGCTGTGGCATCTGCTTCCTCAAACCGCTTTTGTCCGTCTTTTTGCTCACATCGCTGTTCACCTGCGTCAGAATGGAGAGTAGGTCTATACCCCTACATGCACATGAGACAGAGAGACACAAAATCAGACATCCAACCAATGTCCACAGTCAAATTTATACACTGTTACAGTTAGTTACAGACAGTGACTTCTGACTCAACCAGTGTTTCCACAGTGAAGAAACCTCACCCCCACCCTGTACCTCCTTGAGTTTTGTGTGATTCCTTAACAGAACTGACTCATAAGAATCATTCATTCTCAAATACACCGATCAGGCATAACATTATGACCACTGACAGGTGAACTTAATAACACTGATTATCTCTCAGCACCTGTTAGCGGGTGGGATATATTAGGCAGCAAGTGAACATTTTGTCCTCAAAGTCGATGTGTTAGAAGCAGGAAAAATGGGCAAGCGTAAGGATTTGAGCGAGTTTGACAAAGGCCAAATTGTGATGGCTAGACGACTGGGTCAGAGTCAGCATCTCCAAAACTGCAGCTCTTGTGGGGTGTCCTGGTCTGCAGTGGTCAGTATCTATCAAAAGTGGTGCAAGGAAGAAACCGTGGTGAACTGGCAACAGGGTTGATGCGCGTGGGGAGCGAAGGCTGGCCCGTGTGGTCTGATCCAACAGACAAGCTACTGTAGCTCAAACTGCTCAAGAAGTTAATGCTGGTTCTGATGGAAAGGTGTCAGAACACACAGTGCATCACAGTTTGTTGCGTATGGGGCTGCATAGCCGCAGACCAGTCAGGGTGCCCATGCTGACCCCTGTCCACCGCCGAAAGCCCAACAGTGGGCACGTGAGCATCAGAACTGGACCACGGGGCAATGGAAGAAGGTGGCCTGGTCTGATGAATCACGTTTTCTTTTACATCGCAATACAGATTGCGTCAAAGCAGATTTACAGTGTTAAACAGGAAAATGATGTTTCAATGATGCAAACAAAATTCAATTCTGCTTTAAAGCAGCTCTAAAAAGAGGACACTGATAATGATTATTACAGTAACAAAAGCACTAATTGACCATAATGATTTTTGTCCTAATATTGCAGCCTTACCCTCAATGGATTTGTTTTATCATTTATATACTTTATGTAGGCTATTTACACTGTTATTTTTGTGTAAATACATGCATACCACCTTTGAACAGCATTGAACATAATAATAAACATAAATGCCATGTCAGATGCAGCTTCTGTTCGACCTTTCCAGTGTAGAGATGGCTTTCATTGAGCTTTATAAAACTTTATTGGTAACAGTAGTTTATTTATGATCTGTAGCAAGGTCTATAGTATTCTGATTGATTGAGCCATGAACCAAACCAACCAGCTATGAGGTGAATCACAACATTAATTTAAAGATGGTGATTCTATTATTAAAAACTATTTATTATATTTAACTTTATTGCAAAATACGCATATATATACAAATATTTAATTGGTTTGAGTGTAGGGAGACTCGATTGGCCTACTGGCACGTGTGTGCCTGATAACTGGTTTATATATGTGTGTTTGTTACACTAACCTTTGTCAATATCTGTTCCTTCTCTGTTCCCCAGTGTGCATGCACTGAAGTCATAGTTGTTGATGATTAGACAGAATCCTCTCCTGTCCCCCTTCATCTCATACTGCTGGATCTACCACACAAACGGCACAACTGTTAAGAAGTGTGGAGAATGCCTGGTTTGATTTAAGCAGGGGTGTCAGCAACAGAGTCCAGTATAACATAATATAGTATACATACAAAAATATAGTTAACTGCACAGATCATGGCCGAATAGAGCAAAACTGACTAATAAACAATTCACAAGCCCTCAGTAAAGTTTCCAGTATCTTTGTGCACATATAACAATGGTCTCTGTCGATCCATTCACTCTTCAGCAGCAGTTGTGGTTTTAACCCATGTATCTTCATCTCCTCTCTGGTGACGGTGTCTGTATCCTGTAACAGGAAGTCCAATTTCTGCAGCACCTGTAGCCTTCTAAGATGTCTTCAGTGATTGCTTTTCCTCTGACGTCTTCTCCACACTGTTCTTCTAGTCTCTCATTGCAGTTGGTCAGTCTTCTTCTTTGCAATCAAGCATTACTAAGCACACATCCTATAAGTCCTTAACTTGCCAGGTGGAGCTGCCATGCATTGGACTGGTTGGTCCAGCATATCCCACGGATGCTCAATCAGATTACCATCTGAAGAATTTGGAGATCAGGACAACACCTTTATGTTCCTCAAATCATTCCTGAACAGTGTGCAGTGTAGCAGGTGCAATATCCTGCTGAAAGAGCCCACTGCCGTAAGGGAACATCATTGCCATGAGGGCCAACATCCTGCAGAATTTAGCTTCAACCAGCTTCAGCACAATTCGATGAAGGTTTCTAGTGAGTCTGAAGTCCTTAATTAGCTGGTTCAGGTGTGTTTAATTAGGGTTGGAGCTAAACTCTGCAGAACAGCGGCCCTCCAAGAACAGGTCTGGAGACCCCTGGTGTACCTGCTCTGGAATGAGGTTTAGGTAGGTGGCATGTCTCAAATTGACGGCCACACAAATGTCCGGACACAGGGTTTCCCAGCAGAACATTGTCCAGAGCATCACAAGCCCTCAACCAGCTTGTCATCTTTCCACAGTGTATCCTGGTGCCATTACAGGTAAACAGTGGACATGTTGTATACAACCATTCACGTGATTCATCAGACCAGGCGACCTTCATTCATTTCTCCAAAGTCCAGTTCCGTCCGTACAGTACTAGGGGCTTTCGGCTGTGGACAGGGGTCATTCATGGGCACTCTGAAGAGTCTGCACCTACACAGGCCCATATGCATCAGGGTGCTATGCGATGTGAACATTGTGAACAGTGTCGTGAATATTGCTCCTTTAGCCATCATTAAAATTGTCACCACATAAGACTATTCTGTTTTGTTTGGTCCAGACGGAACAGCCACCGATTTGTGGTTTGTCCCTCCTCGGAACACTGTTAGTAGGTTCTTACAAATGCTGATCATAAGTATCCCACAAGCTTCGCTGTTTCAGAGATGCTCTGACACCGTTGTCTGGCCACAACAATTTGGCCCTTGTCAAAGTCACTCAGATCTTTATTCCTGGCCATTTCTCCTGCACCAACTGGTTGCTCATTTACCATATAAATTACCCAGACCTTAACACGAGTCCTTTAAATGAGATGATTAACAGTATTAATTTCACCTATGAGCGGTCATAATGTTTTGCCTCATCAGTGTATTACAACATACATTCTCTTTGTTCTGTATATGGTCATGACATCCTAATGCATTTTCTACCATCTAACCCTAACTTAACATGGAAACTGCCTTTGTATGATACACCAGGTAATGGCATTTCCTACAACTACAGACTATTCCTACATCCAATGTTACTTGTGCATGAAATGTAGATGAGACGTTCGCTATAATAAACAATCAGCGATTATGGATAATCTTGCTTTATCAAAATAATAATAAGCTTAGTACACACCCAATTTGGTGTAAAAATGTAGCACATGGAGCATTACTATGTACCATAAATGTGCCTGTTAAATAACTAAACTTGTGAGTGATTGATAGAGAACACAGAGTTCAATAATTTAATATTAAGATAATATGTAACAAAAACAAGATTTTTATCCTTCACCCTTCAAATGATTTAAGGAAATATGAAAAAAGTGCTCACCAATTACATACAATACTGTCTTTACTTGTTCCCTATCTGTTGGTCACTACGAGTTATGTCGAACGACATTATGGGGTCTCACTTGGGAGCCCAATCATCTCTGAGTTTAAGAGAAAACGCCAATGAGAATTGGCTAGTGGATTTTTGCATGCTGAGCCACTCCCTGTGCACACAGGTATATAAGGCGACAGCGTGCATCCACTCATTAGATTTTTGCTTCAGAGCCGAGTAGTTGTAAGAAAAGCAGTTATACTCCACAAAGCCATTCATCTGCTGTATGTTGGGAAGCTGTTCTGGTTGGCGGTACGGCGTGAACAGTGGTGTCCCTTTCAGCGATTCCCCTGGGTGCTTTAACTAAAAAAGCAGATTTCCTAAAAGAGCAAATCACAGACGATTCGCGTCTTTATAAAGACGCCGTTTCATCCGTGTCCTTCTGTTTGCGGACGTTTCCTGTCCTCTGACAACGGCCACGAGCGTTGTCTTCCATGTCTGGTTATTTAGCACGCTGAAGACGCGTTCATGGATGGTTTATTCCCGCACTGCGAGTACGTGACCATGGCAACGCTGCGATCGCGTCTCTCCATTCTTAAAGGGAAAGGAGCAGACCCCTCTGTCACTACCCCACTACTGCAGCATCGGGGGATGGGCTATTGACCTCTGTGGATGAAGATTCGGCGGGGCTGCCCCCCTCGGTTGTTGTCGCCACTGCCGAATCGGACCCAGAGTTGACGGCCGTGCTTGCAGCTGTGAGCATCAGGTTGGAGGTGAATACACCGCCCAGCCCTGAGTGCTCTCAGCTGGACGTCTGGTTTCTCGGTGTAGAGCATGGCTCTCAACCACGTTCTGCTCTGGTTCCTTTCTTCCCGGAGGTGCATGAGGAAGTGACGTAGTCGTGGATGACCCCTTTTACAGCCAGAAGCCGCTCGTCTCCTTCCTCCGTCCTCACTACCCTCGATGGCGGGGCGGCTAGGGGGTGCATAGACATTCCCCAGGAGGAGAGAGCGATTGCTGGTGCACCTGTGCCTGCAAAACGCCGCCACTTGGAGGAATAGTCCGTGTCTCCCGTCCAAAGCCTGTAAGCTGTCGGCGGCTCTCGCTGCCAAAGCTTACAGTGCTGCGGGCCAAGCTGCCTCTGCCCTGCATGCCATGGCGATCCTGCAATTTCACCAAGCCAAGGTTTTAACAAATGCACGAGGGTAGTACCGACCCGAGGTTGATGCAGGAGCTGCGCACGGTGACTGACTTCCCCCTCCGGGCGACGGAATTCACGACACGGTCCCTCTGGAAGGCGATGTCCACTCTGGTGGTCCAGGAGCGCCATCTCTGGCTCAACCTGGCTGAGATGAAAGATGTTGACAAAATACGCTTTCTTGACGGTCCCATCTCCCAGGCTGGCCTGTTCGGTGACACTGTTCAACACATCCAACACATCCTGCCCCGACGTGATCCTCCAGCTGCCACCTTTCCGTCACGGGCCGTGTCTCAGTCTGCTCGTCGCCATGGGCGCCCTCCTGCGTCCTCCAAACGGTGAGGAGAGCGCACCCGGCCACTAAGTCCTCCAAGAAGACGAGGAAGCGGCCCTGACACGGGCAACCCGGAGATGTGGGAGACTGCTCTTCAGGAGGTGGTGGAGACAGCGCCGCTCCTTCCCCCGGAGGAGGGCCGGGCGGAGAATCTTCTGTTCCCTTTTCTTTTTGTTCGCCGTTGAGCCAGCGGTGACCACATTGTCAAAAAAAGAGCAGTTTCCTTTTCCTCCGGGTTACAAGGCTCGTGGGATGACAG